GCACACCCAATCCCATAAACCACCAGCTCCAACCCCCATGTTTGCTGAGCCCTGGAAACATGCAAATACCCCGTTGCTCCTGCCTTAAACATCCTGCAGGCTACCCAAATCCTCGGTGCTCTGCCTCTATCGCCCTGAGCCCGACCTCAGCACTTGCCTCTAGACCTTCACAGCATCTAACCTTTGCCCGAAACCACAAGGGAGCGATGGCGATGGCACATACGGGCATCTCCTGCAGCGCACACTGCCAACCCCGAGACTCTTCTGTTCCTCTTCCCCACCTCCTACTCAGTTAAATGGACTTTTCATGAAGTCCTCACTAGAAAGTGACCCGAATCAGACATAACCAAGAAGATTGCCGCAGCTAACGCTGCCAGCACTGGCCCCCTCTCCCAGCTGGAGCTGAGAAAGCTGTGCTCTAGCCACATGCTGCTCCCTGCGCCACGCAGACCGCTGTCGCAGAGCGGCTGTCAGAGCGGCTGGAACGGCTCCTCAGGCCTCCCACTCTCTTGTGCAACAGCTAGAGATAGGAAACCGTATTGGGAAAATGCATTTTTGAGAAAAGCAGGGCCGAATCTGGGTCAATTGAACATGGGAACAGTAGTCAGGACTGATTCACAAACCTTTCGCAGAGAAGGAGACAGCCTTCGCTTAATCCAGCTTTTGAGCTCGGCAACTGAGAGAGTAACAGGCACAGGGCGACCCAAGTTCAGTCCCTTCCTCCGAGAGATCTGGGCTCATGAGAGCAGGATCATCCACCCTCCCTCTCCAGCAGCCCCATTCCTCCCTACAGGAGTTGATGCACATTGTATACGAACAGCCACCGATAAAGAGGGAGAGAACGCCCGCCTCAGTGACTACATCACATGCACGGGACATGGGGCACTGGGGTTTGTCTTTGCGCCAGGAAACGTTTAATAGGTCACTACAGGTAGGCAGCAGCATCACAGCAGACTGCTCCTCCCCATACAGAATGGCAAGAGGTGCAAGTCCAAAGCTGTGCATGAGGAGGGGATATCTTAAAGTCCTTTTATATCCCAAACAAGCGCTCTAGCCAAGGGGAGATCAGGACAACGGACTTCATTTTCCTTTCTCACTTTTGTAAGTCTAGCCCATGCCTTCATTTTTTTTGGTAAATGCTTAAATTCAGTGAGTTGAACAGAACAGCATACATAGGATTAAATGATGACTAATAACATCTACAAATTACTAGTTCTGCTGGAATTAACAGGCTCCAAGCAAGCCCAGCAATGGTGCTCTGGCACTTATGGGCATTCATGACCCTGACAACTAACAGTTTGTCTTTGGTCAGTTAAAAAACAACGTAGATACCTTAATTCCTCCTAATACATTTGAACTACTGTTCCAGGTCTGCCCCACGTTGCGGCACCCGGCAGCACAGCAGATGCAGACTCACCACGCACAGCTAACACAGACTACGTACATTGCATGGACATGGGAGACACGATCTCTTCGTCCAAATCATCCACGTCATCAGTCATGATGAAGTGCGAGGGGTTAGGCCGCGGGGTGCCCATCCAGCTGGGGTCAATGTTAAGGGCTGATGCCAGGGTGTGGATGCCTGGGTTGTTGACGATCTGGAAGCCACAGAGCAGCTCTATCTGCTGCCAGCGATGCAGGCGCTCCCGCAGCGCAGCCGTCACTTCGCTCAGCGCTTGCCTGGAAGCAAGGTTCAAACAAGGGAAAAAGGTAGGGAATGAAGGAAAAACTCACCATATATTGTCTGATACAGGGAGTCTAGCGGTTCATATTTGTATCCTAATACTTGAGACATCTTTCATTCCATTTTCAGGAATACAGAAATTAAAAAAAAAACCAGCAACGACTGAAATATCCAGGGATAATCGCTTAAGAACACCGCAGCCTTCTGAATCCCATTTTGACAGGACTTTCAATTGCTCTGCATAACTGCGATTTCTTGTTTCACACAGAAAAAATTAAAAGGTTATTATTAAAAGGAGCAAGTCCAACCCCAGCTAACTAAAGTCAAGAGAACAAAAGTTCAGCAAAATGAGACCAAGAGTACCTGTAGGGGCTACAGTACGCTCGCATCTGTAATACGAGAGGGGTGAAAGAGGCAGGCAGAAACAAGGCAGGATATTAAGTAGATACTCACTTTGCAGTTAAGATTTTATGATCAACGTCATCTAGAGATGAACTGTGAGCAACATGAAATGTTCCAAACAGGGTGTTTCGCTTCTTTTTAATTTTTTCAGCCTGGAACATCAACACAAAAAGGTCACAGGAAGAAGACAACCTTATGTTTCCTCCAGGACAAGAACATCCTGGATGGGCTGAGACAGAAATAGTCCCTGCAGCTGTTTGCACACGTGTAAATAGTGTGAATCGGGTTTTTACTGAAGGATGTTATTCTTCCTAACACACTGGGCGAGGAATTCGCCAGCAGCGAGTAAGCAGGTTGCGGGTTTCACGCTCCTCCTTGGCCCTTCTCCTGATTTCCCAAGAGTCAGAGGGAACTGAACCAGCTACTTCATACAGCGAATGACTCTCTCATAAAGCCTTGTTTTGTCTTTCCCATGAGTAAACTATCAGAGGAACACTGTTAATGCCCTAGGGTTGTTGGAGGTTTTTTGGTTTGGGGTTGGTTTTTTTGCCTTCCCTTTGTGGCACAGTGTGTATTCAAAATTAAAGTCTCCACACACAGCTCTCTGGTTCACAGATCTAGTGGCATTAACTTGAGACTTATAAAAGACAAACCAAGGACGTGGACATGAGAACTGACACAGCAAAAGGAGAACCATTGAAATGTTAAACGTTCAGAATAAAAACATATTAAGGCAGACAAATTTTTCTATGCTGCCAGCTTTGACTGCTGTGTATGTCCACAGAGACAAGTACATGTTACAACAACTTCCCTGCAGCTCATCGCTTTTTGGTTGGCACAGAAAATTTTAAACAACTGTGAATACAGAAATGATTCATCGCTACAGATCACATGCATGTGTTAGAAATTTTGTGGCCTGTGCACGTAAATCACCTAGAGCAGGGATTATGCTTAATAGGTGCAAAACCTTCTGCTTACTGACTACCCACAGTGCTGTCGCACAGGCAGCAGTTCATACTCTGCACCTTCCCAGGGCTCCAGCCTACTGAAGACAGGCTACCGCAGCTGATGGGCATGCCCAGGTCGGCACTGAGTGTGCCCTGAGAGGCGATTGCTCATTATCATTTTCAGCCCCTACTTACACCGCTATGAAGAAACCAACTCTGCAGGTTTCATTCCCCAAACTTTTCCCCGCGGCTGCGAGGGGAGGACCCAGAACAAGACACTGAAATTCTCACCCCTTCCTTGGCCACCAGCAGCTGCTTCTCCGCATTCTGTTTCTTGATGTTGTAGTACTGGACCTCCACCTCATGGGTCAGCTGGAGCCACTTCTGCAGGGCCTCGGGGGCAGCCCAGCTGCAGTGGGACTCCAGCTCCTTCTCGGCGTTCTTGAGCGCCATCCGCACCTGGGAGAGAACCGGCCGGCGCGGCGTTGCAGCAGCGGCAGGGACAGCCTCCCCCCCTGCAAGGTCATCCCAATCGCTGGCTGCCAACCCGGAGCTTTTAAGGTACCAGAAAATAGAGAAAAAGCCTCCACGCTACTTAATCTTACTCATGACAGAAGCAGAGGTCATTAGGAGGAGAGGTGGCATCCTGGTACTGTGGGCAAGAGGGAGAGAGGAGTGCAGCAGGGCAGCCATCCGACAGACAAGGCTGCTGCTCAGATGACCAGAACACCCTACAGTGCTTTCCTTTCATCCTAAAGGTAAGCCCTTCCTCAAAAATTTCCAGCCATCGCGATGCTGTCCTGCCTCAGCACCTCAGCTCTCAGAGAGGGTAAGTAGAGCTGACCTGGTCTACCTCTTCACATCAGCTCCTCTGCCTCACAACAGCATAAACTGTAGGTAAACCCTCCAGGGCTGACAGCATGATGCACAAGTTAGTTAAAAGTGAATTAGACTTTAGGTAGGATATTCAGGGTGCTTATCTTAGCCTCTAGAAATCTCTGGAAAGTTTGCTGCCTGCCTACAGGTCTGCAATACCCCCAGATTTTCCTCCTGAGGCAGAATTGCTGACAACACTGGGCAGGCAATCGCCTTTTTTCTCTGCAGCTACTGAGCCAAACAGAGGGAACTTGTCAAGAGACAACTTTCACACTGAAGCAAGATGATAAAAACATTTAGACACAAAACATGTGCTGCTTGGTCAGGAAAAGAAAGAATACGTCTGGAATCAGCAGTTTCTGTAGCTTTCTGGAGGATTCTCCTTCCATCCCAGCTCAGTCTCCTCCACGCACCATCGGTCTGGTCTCCTCCACACACTTACTTATCTTGCTAGAGATGGGAGCGATTACAAAATTAGAAGAAAGTGGGTGACAAGCGAGTTGAAGATACCAAAACCTTACATAGAAGCATTTAGCGCTAGAGATCATCAAGAATTACACTTCTTTTCCATTACACATGATGTGGAAGCCTGACACAAGCCCTGCAAGAAGTTAACGTGTTCTACACTGGAGAAACCGAAGGATGGCGACTGCAGCTCAGAGCTGCTGCAACCGAGGGACAGCACAGTGGTGGTGGACTGGACTACTCTTCAACCACAGCACCTCGAAGCTCAGGAGGGGAGTCTACAACAGACTTTCTTGCTGTTAAAATAAAAGCCAACCCTAAGCACCTTCAAGAGCTGTCACTGCCCCAGCAAGCCCTGGCCCACCAACGCAGAGCTCCTCCTAACAGAAGTGGAGCTGGGAGGAAAGGCCCAGCTATGGCACGGCCAGCTGCGCAGTCAGGACGGGGCCACACACGTGGCACTGGGATGATGCCTGGATGATGTCTCCCATTTTGTCTTTCTGTTCTTTAGGGCCCAGGTCTAAGAAGCACAGAGGCAGTGGGAGTATCCAGAGACCTGCTCAGGCCCTGTACCAGACCCTTCCCAATGCCCAAAGCACGCTTCCCACCACCGTGTTTACACCCACCCTTGCCTGCTGCCGTCTCCCACAGAGCAGAGCTCCAAGAGGACTGAAGGTAAGCATTTTTTTAACAGATTGCTCAAACCTGAATCTTTTCCCTTAACGTGTTATTAAACTCAGTCACGTCTCACCAAGTCTGGCATAGGGGCAATTTCTAGCGAGCCAAAACCACCAGGTTACACACAGATATTTGAAATCCCCTACTTTATCCTGGAGCACATTTGCACAGCCCATCTAGAAGTAGCCAGGAGGCACTGCACAGAAGAGGTCAACTACTTATATCACCTACGTGTGATTTAGTCTTGTTAGCATAACATTGCCTAAATCATTCAAAAAGTTACAAATTCAGAATCGCAGACCCCAGGAAGGTCTGCTTTTTCCCCTCTGACACCAGCAGGACCAGGCGCTGTTCCCACCACAGACCGAACTCTGACCACGATCCGCAAGCGTCTGGGATTTAGGAACACGGAGAATAAGCGGGCAGGAAATCTGCCACTAGGTATTTGGGGTAGAGGAGTGCTCAAAACATTTACAGGAACAACATTTTTATGGAATGGTGGAAAAGGGAAGCGGTGCAGAACAACAGCCACGGACCAGTGGTTGAGATGAGCCATCATACAGCAGTGTCCAAAACACAAACCCTCTTGGTTCTGCAGGGGAATCAGCACAAATAGCAGTCACTTTGCCTGTCTACATTCTCCTGTGAAGATTTCTAAGATCACATTTTGATGACTAAGAGCAACAATTTATAAAGCGAGGAATGCCCTCTGGTCTGCAGCCCTGGCTGGGTTTATGGTCTCGGGGAGGATGACCTAGCGAGGAGAGAGGATCGGCATGAACAACCCAGTACGGGAGAGCCCCATCTCAGAAATACACTGCTTCTCCATCTCATACGCCCGACTCCAGTAGGAGCTTCCAAACCCTCCAGTATCGTTTTAGTGATAAGGATCAACTGGTGCAACAGAAGGTCTTGTTTTAACATTCCCTGGGACCAAAGAATATCTTAAAATCGGATGAGTTTTACGGTCAGTGGGAGTGACTGTTAATGTTATCTGTGGTCTACAGCTCACTGGGACGGTGATCGTGTTATAATCACACAGTGTGGGTCAGGTGGATAAAACCAATACTCACCCTGTCAATGCATCCCTCCCGAAGGCCTCTAAGAAACAACAGAGTGGTTAAGTCACCTCTGGCTTTTCGGGTTTCTTAACAAATGTAAAGTGGAGGGGGAAGTGGAATGTATAAGACCCTGCCTTCTCCAAAAGCCAGGAGCGGTTTGGGTACAAGGGCTCGGGATTACAAGAGGAAGGCTACACCTCCTTATTTAATGGCCCACAATACAAAATGACCGAATTTCTGCGTGTGTGAATACGGACGCCCCAATGCGTGTCCTGAAACAGAGCTCAGTGACCTTGTGGAGAGGCTGGATGACCGGTTAGGAGGAATGATGTTGAATCACAAGAGCAAAGCTGGTAACAGGCACCTGGGGGTGTCTGGGCTGTTGATATTCCAAGCAGGAAGGAAATTTGCTGTTTGCTGACTATTTGCATACCTAGGCTGCACTGCCCCGTGGTTCCCTGGTTACCTGATGGCCCAGGACACTTGATTCTCCCTTGTCAGTGGAAACCCTGTCTCCTTTTCTTCCCCATCCTCCATGGTGGCATAAAAGACTGGGCACAGTCAGGTTGGGAGGATATGCTGATGGCCTCGGAATATCCAAGGTACTTGCTTGGCTCATGCAATTCTGGCTCACACAATTTCAAACTGATCTATAAATTAAAGTCAGATAAGAACTGTCCCTCAGGTGAAATAGGAAGCAGCAACTGGAATTGTGGTTTTGGACCTCTCTTGTAGGTTTGGGCAAAGGGCAGTTTTGAGGTAAAATTCCCAGATACTCGCTCTTTGCCCTCTATGACTGCAGGCAGGTGCCATGAGCAATGTCCTTGATTTCCATTATTTCCCTATAGCTTTTATTATAGGTCTCAGGGTTTTTAGATGTAGATTGGGAATGCTTTTTCTGACCTATGACAAATTATTTTACAAATGCTCTGTGTATCCTTCTGGACCAAATGCGTTTCATTTTTGCCAGCAGCAGCATTATACACAATATTCTGTCTAAGCCTGCCTTATGATATATAACCTGGGGACACATTTTCCTGCTAGTCTAAACTTAAAACTAATGTTTTTGAGAATTGCATATGAACTCTAACCTTGCTGTACAGATTCTAATCTAGTGCTAAATTTCCTTGGAAGGAAATTTTTGTTGTACACCTCTCTGATTCACAAGAAAACACGATAAGCACAACCAAACTCATTCTAAATCTCTCCTAAAACCATGGATAGATACAAAAGGAAAAAAAGAACAAGCTTATGGTTTGGAGTGGGAGTTAGAAGTCATCAGATGGGTGCAGCTACAGGTCAAGTTCAACACCTCTCCTAAAGGGCAAGCTGGGACAGCATGTGGTAGCAGCACATCACTCTTGAGACAGCACCTGCACGGTCCCTGCCACCCAAGGCACAAGCAGCACTGTTGTAGAGCATGGGGGACGTGTAACGCGGAGTAGTGGAAGAAATACTTGGATCTTTTCCTCCACAAAGGGAGTGGAAAAGCAAAGGCAGAAGAGCGTTATGAGCAGAACATCACTGGATTTCTCAGAAGGATGAAGCAGAGTGAGGAATTGCCTACTGTTCTCGCGGGCATGTCTCATATGTATGTGCATCCATCTGGCTGAACCCTTACCTGCTCCAGTTCTTGCTCAGCGTATTTCTGCCTGCTCAGTTCATTCTCCGTGCCCTCCCGCAGTTCTCGGAGCCGGTGTGCCTCCTGCTTGGCGATGCTGATCTCGTCTTGCAGTTTCTTCTCCAGGTGCACCTTTTCCACCTCCACAGAGCGATGCTCCTCCTGAGCCTTCTGAAGTCTGCAACACAGAGAGACCGAGAACCCAATGCTGTGCGTGTCGGGCTATCTTGTACAGGAGCTTAGGTCAACTAAGTTGATCTGAAGGAGTCAACTGAAGGAGTTTACAGTACAACTGCTGGCCAGCCACAATCTAGACCAACCCTACTCTTATTTACTCTGTGTTGATGTCAACAGAGATCTGTATTTGGAAAGTCAAGGAGAAAGTTCACCGAGCCCAAGAAGAAATTAAATTGTCAACTCCACAGTCTCAACTTTATTTCATTTATTAAATACTCAGTACGTATTTTCTTAATTTTCCAAAGCACATCAAGATTTCCTTTAATAAGCCTCAAATTAGTTTGAATTGTCAGTGTTTTTACAAAAGTGAAGACCTTTGCGTTTAATAAAAAAAAGGAGGGGAAGATCTGCCTGAGCAGGTATGACCACCAAGATGGGATGTCTCCGTGTTCCCCTTGCAAAAGCCTTCAAATTCAGACATGTCTTAATCTTGCCTGGAAGTTATTATTTTTCCTCATGACAGAATTAAATCAGTAGAAATTATATATGGCAACAAAAAGTAGTAACAGATTAACTGTACCCATTCAGGAAGGTTCAACCATTCAGCCTGGGAAGCCTCAGCCCTCTGAAGGAGACACCACCGCAGCCACTGCAAGATGTTTCAGGGTTTCTACGACATTTGCATTTCAGGGCAGTTGCACCAGTGTAAACCCAATCCTCACACAAGTTCAGTGAAATCAAATTAGCATCAAGAATGAACCTGGCCCACGCTGGGACTGAGCTGTCCTGAAAAGGGGTGGTAAAGTCTCTGGTTGTTGCCACCCAAACAACCTCTAATGCCAGTAGTGCCTCTTTTAAATACAGTCCCAAACCCATGTGCTTCTAGAGACACAGCGATTGCCAAGTAGAAGGGGAAAAAAAAAGATCTGCTAAATATTCAGTTGAAATGAAATTAAGAGGTTCACTTCATAATGAAAGTTCTGAAAAATCATGTTGAACAAGTACTACCAATGAAAGAAAAAAGAGTATTAAAGGGCTTCTTCCTTTGCAAGAACCAGCTAAACGATTCAAACGAAAAATACTTTTTTTTAAATGATGGCAACAATTAAACCCTGGATCAAATTTCTGAGGAATGGGGTACATCCATCTTTGGATAACTTCAAATCAAGATATGATGAGTTTCCAGAACATGTACTTCAGCCACCGGACCGAACACAATGAAGTGCTGTGGCTTACACTGTCAGAAACCAGGTGCATCAATCTAACAGTCCCACCTTTTCAACATGAACTTCTCTCTCAAAAGTCTCAGTTATCACAGTGTCGTGGTTTAACCCCAGCCAGCAAATAAACCCCACACAGCCGCTCGCTCACTCACTCCCCCCGGTGGGATGGGGGAGAGAATCGGAACAGTAAGAGTGAGAAAACTCATGGGTTGAGATAAGAACA